TTTTTTTTTTTTTTTTTCAATTTTTTTTGCTCTATTTTATCTGCGTTGTTGACTTGCTATGCGGCGATTTTTTGTTATTTATTTATTTATTTTTTTTTTGAGTTCGGATCGTTTGTGGCTTGAGAGTTCTCCAGATCTGCTAATTGCTCATCGTTTTGGGAATAATCTGCTCAATATTGAATATGATCTTAGGATCGTGACTGTACGTAAATCTTCTTAATATTATCATTGTGATGTTTGATGTTGGTGATGATGGAATCTCTTTTAAGGCTCGAGCTCAGCAAATGAGCCGAGTTCGTGTAAAGCTTGTTTAGTTAACGAGCTAAACTGAATTGTTAAGGCTCTAGTGTGGCTTGTTAATATTGGTATACGAGCTGAGCTCTAACTTTTTTATTGGCTTCTTTAGTTGATGAACCGAGCTCGGCTAGTTTATACTCCTAGGGATGTGATAATGAATTTTAGAAATAGGAGTGACCATAGGTCGGTCCATAAGTTGTAAATCTGGTGATGAATTGTCAATGGAATGACTTTGTTGTACAATTGTAGTTGGATATATGGTTTGTGATTGGAAAAATATAAGAATGGAAAAATTATTTTGTGTTGATATTTGTTTGGTAGATGAAGGTGCCTTTTCAATTAAAAGTAGCCCTAAAAATTGTTTCTATGGTTGGAATTTAGAAAGGACCTAAAGGCTAAAGGTAATATCAATTTAAGTTGCATCTTATTCGTTTTCTCGATAAAGACAAATAAAACTTTCAAATTTTCCTTTTGACCTCGAAAATAGATGTTTCGATTCTAATTCCTTAGATGTTACCTTTTGGAATGAAGGTGATGGAAGTGAGCTTCAAGCTGCATTGTTCGAGTGGACCGGTCAGCGAACTGTGCCCAATGTGTTCATAGGCGGAAAGCACATTGGTGGCTGTGACGGTAAATATCAGTTTAACTTTTCATGATTAGTTAGTAAAACGTGATTTTTTACCATTCGCCTGTTTGAATAATATGTATTGATTTTTCTTTTGCAGCAACAACCAATTTGCATAACCAAGGAAAGCTTGTTCCTATGCTTACTGAAGCTAAAGCTCTTGCCGCGGAAGCTTCTGCTTAGAGTGAAATAAAATTATGGTTTTAATGTATGACTGTGTGAAGTGTGATGATGATAATAATAATAAAGGTGAAGACTCGTGTTGATGGATCGATTGATCGAGATATATATATGTTGTATGTGTTTGTGCATTGATGACTTTGGCTTAAGTCATTGTTTGTAGTATTTCTGAACAGTTAAAAGCTTTTGGTGGTATAATGTTTAGTGGCATCTGAAAGTAATTACCTTCTGATTAGCGTGGTACTTAGTATTGACTATGTTTGGTAAAACTAGCTTTAGCTAATAATATTAAGTTAGCTCATAGCTTATAACTGAATTTTGAGCTTATAGCTGATAGTTTAAAGTTGAAAAATTAGTTGATATAATAAAATTGCTTGGTAAAATTAAATCAGTTTATTTGAAAAAGTTACCTGAATAAGTTTATAAGATAAGTTTGAGTTTTACTGTAAACTTATAAATTAGTTTATGAGATAAGTTTGAACAAGTTTATAAGATAAGTTTGAGCTTTACTGTAAACTTATAAATTAGTTTATGAGATAAGTTTGAACTTTATTGTAAACTTATAAATTAACCAAATAAGCTTTCTTAGCTATAAAACACTCTTAAGACTATTAGTAATATATTAATAGGGACTAAAGTTTTGATTAATGTGGTACATAGATTAAAAATAGTTAATATTACTGAAAGATGCTACGGTTTCGTTACGAAACTATTCTGTCGAGATTTGTAACCGTTAGATCAACTATCTCTGACGGTTATCTGATGATCTAACGGTTACAAACCCTGATGGAATAATTCCGTAACGGGACTTAGCATTTCCCAATATTACTACTAGATTTTGTGAGAATCTGAACTCAATCTTAGTTGTAGAACTTTTTTGACTTTGTGTTGCACCTTTTTTAAAGTTGCTGTGAGGCTGACAATCTTCTCTGGCTGGTATAATATTATCAGTTCTGTTACCAAAACGGTTGCCTTTTGATTTTTACTTTTATTTTTTACTACCACTTTTATGAATCTTGTAACTTTTGCCACAGATTTCACCTCACCAGTTATTGCAGTTGGATGTTTTTCACTATTGAATCAACAACATATACTTATGGATGTGATTGCTTAAAACTCAGAAAACAAATGCATCAATAGTCTAAGCAACATTGCCATTAGCCATCAAGTATAAACAATATATGTGAACATAACTACACTGAACATAAATAGCCTAAATTTAGAGAAACCAAAAAAATAAGATTGCATTTTCTCTTCATTTCCCCATTATACCATGCCCAATAAGATTTGCTGCTCGTCCCACCTTGCCAACTTCTACACCGGTCGGAAAAAAAGGGAGATTAAAAGAACTAATTGACGAACAACAAAACCGAACAAATGAATTCATGCACAATATAAGACTACAAGTCTACAATTATCAAGTGATAAGAACCAAACTCACATTCGAGAGACTAATCCATCGATTAAGAGTATCCAAAGCTTTTCCCGACAAATGTACTTCACGTGCCAAAGCTATCCCTTCTCCCAAGCTGTGGACTCTCCCACACACAAATAATGCTGCAGCTGCATTTAACACCTGCATGGAAAACCGTTTTCGTATTTTTCTTACTATTTTACCCATTCCCCGGTGTGTGTGTGTGTGTGTGTGATGTTTAAATAAACGACTTACAAATGAATCTGCAATGGCTCCTGTCTCGCCCGATAGCACACGCCTCATCAACTCCGCATTGTATTTTGGATCTTCCCCTCGTAAATCTGCTAATGTGCACCGAGAAATACCAAAATCCACTGCAAATACAAAAAAACGGGAGCATTATAATTAAATTAGTAAATTACAGGACAGAGATTTGAGATTTCATTATTTCGCTCTCAGCATAATCGAGCCTCAATTTTTCGGACCAAGACTTGAGGTTCTTAGTTCTTACATGGGTCGAAAGAAAACTTCTCAATAGTTTCGGGTGTAATATGAAGCACCACTGCAGGCCCTGATAACACGCCAAAATCTAGACTTACTCGAGACTGAAAGACTTGACAATCATATATTGTTATAAACAGTGAATCTTACCGAGCGGACTCATTTCATCTAACCCCTCGGAATTTACGACTAATGCTCTTTTCATTCCGTATCTTTGTAATGCTTTAGCCATCTTACCAACCTGTTGAGGTAAGACAACACACACACACACACACACACAAAAAAAAAAGAAGAAGAAGATTAAAAAACACATTTATTTGAACGATTCAAACACATTATTTGAAGCAAACAAACAACTGACCAAATCTTCTTTATAAACTCCAACAACCGAAAAAGATACACAAGCAGGATTTAACATGGGACCGAGAATGTTAAACACGGTCTTCACTCCGAGCTTTTTCCTCACGGGAGCAAAAGTCTTCATGGCCGGATGATAGTTAGTTGACATCATAAATCCGATTCCCGTTTGTTCCACACAAGTTCGAACTCCCTATTTTAAAAGTAACGAGTAAATTATAACTTCAATATCCTTAAATATGCACAAATTACACATTGCAAAACCAAAACACACACTTGTGATGGAAATTTCGAATACACAGTTAGCTAACCTCAGGCTCGACATTAATGGCCACTCCTAAAGCTTCCAAAACATCCGCACTACCACACGCAGAAGAACTAGACCTATTCCCTTGCTGTAACAAACACAAAAAATGTGAAAAAATACACGTTAAACAACCGGTTATCATATATTTAAATGTGTGAAATGACTACAGTCCCGTCTCTGATTCCCATCAGTGTTGTTTTAACCATTGATTATCTACCTTACACTAATCTACATGTGTATCTAAAAGGCTAATAATAACCACGAAATCATTCAGTGACGAGTCTGTAGTGATTCCCTATAAATGTATAACATTTTTCAAAATTTCTTGAAAATGAAAATCAAAACTTAAACCTTAGCTACTTTAGCTCCACAGGCAGCCGCGAGAATTGCGGCCCCAGTAGAGATATTCACCATGTTGGAACAATCGCCACCTGTCCCTACTATATCCACCGCGTTTTCTAAACCATCTACTTTTCTGCAACATTTTATCATAGCCCTTGCCATGGCCACAATCTAAATTTGGAAAACGCGAAAAAAAATAAAATAAAATAAATGAAGTATAATACGTTTAATGAAAATCAACTAAAAAAGCATACATTAGTCAAGAAAACGAAGAAAAAAAGTTCTTCAAATTGTAAAGGTACATTATTACATTACCTCTTCATATGTTTCACCTTTGGCTCGGAGGAGAACGAGAAAGGCGCTGATTGAAGCTTCGGAGCCATTGGTTAGCAAGAAATCGAGCGATCCCTCTGCTTCCTCTTCGCTCAAGTCTTCTTTATTCAGTAGGCGCTCGAATAACTGAATTGTTTTTTTAATGAAAATAATAAGTTATAACAATTTAGACAACACACATACACACAGACCAAAAGAGTGCATGGGGAGCCCTTCAAAGTGCATTCATAAAGTAAACTTTTTACAAATTTTTTTTTTTTTTTTCATGGGAAACAAGATATTTGGTGTACATATAATAAATAAATTAAACTGAAGAATTACAATTGAACTTGATGCGGGAAGAGAAATGACCATATAATAAATCAGTCAAAATCGATCAAACCCAATGTTTATTAACTGGTTTTCTAACAGTGTCATACACACGTGATAGATACAACACACATACAAAAAATAAAAGAAAGAAATTAAAATAAAAAGCTATACAAACTACCTCTTTGGGGCAAGAAATGGGTAGCTCAAGCGAACGGCGGCAAAACTCAGTCCGAACGGGTGATCGACTCAATAACGAACGCCGGTCGACTCGACCGGCTACTGAAAAACTTTGAACCTCAGAGTAGTAGCTGGAGTTCTTGAATGGGAGATGGTAAAGAGAAGAAACATTTGCATTTTTGCAAGCAACAGCCATTACTTCAATTTTTTTTTTTTTTTGTTCCCTGTATTGTTCTATATGTTTTCTCTTTTATCACCTCTTTTTTTCTGATAAAATGAGATGGCTTAAAAGTTGAAACCATGCTTTTAGTGTACTTTAATGCTGATTAAACTGGTGATGTTTAAGCGTGTGGAGAGCATTTATTTTGTTTGGTGAGGAGATGGGAGTGGATTATCCCATTATGAAGGAATATTGATTATTATTACACCTTGGTGATGAGATGGAAACTAATAATGTCCCTAGTGTAAATTAAATTTGGCAACTATAATTTTTCACGCAAAATAATTTATTCAACACACTTTTTTTTCCCCTAGATTGAGTGAAAAAATCTCCCACAACGATCACACAATAAAACTGCACAACGACTACATTATGTGCAGAATTGCACAATGACATATCATATATTGCATCTAGGGCGAGCCAAACCGAGTCAAACATTCACTGCTCGAGTTCGACTCGATAAGAAAATACAATAGCTTGAACTCTGCTCGAGTTCGACTCAAAATTTTTTAAGTGAAATTACCATTAAGCACTTGTGTTATGCTTTTTAAATATATATGAGATATTTTAGTAATTTAATATATATATATATATATGCGCTCGAGTTCGTACTCAAACCGCTCGAGCTCGACTCGAGTTCAGTCAAACTCGAGCTCAAGTCGAACTTTGACACGAGCCGCTCAACTCGTTTGCAACCCTAATTGCATCACATGATGGCACAATTCAATCGCATAATGGTCGCACCATGTGGGGTGAAAAACTTAGTACACTTATATTTAGCGGTCAAAATTGATATATATATATATATATATTTTGTAGCCAACCACAGTATTCGGAGCTATGCACCGACTAATCCGTTGGTTGACCCGAATCGCACACCTAGCAGTCGTGGGTGAGTCTCCCAACAAGGGTTTTCTGCATCCGGAACTATGCCCCAACTAATCCGTTGGCCGACTTGGATCGCACACCTAGCAGTGGTGGATGAGTCTCCCAACAAGAATTTTCTGCATCCATAAGGTCTCAAACCCGAAACCTTGCTTAAGCGACATCAACCTACCACTTGAGCCAACCCTTGTTGGTAAAATAGATACTTTTACATTATATTATTCAGTAAAAACATCCCCTTTTTTCTCTGAAAACATCTCCCGTTGAGAAGCACAAAAACTATCTTTGTTTCCTCTGATTTTTCATGATAATCCAAGTTCATGAAATCCATATACCCTTTGGATAAATTGCAATATAGAAAATGTGAAATTGTAAAATTTTTCCCATTTGGTGTCTCTAAATCTTGTGATCAAATTTGATAAGCATTAGGGAAATATTTGGAGTATAAAAAATGCTTTATTCTCACTAACAGTAGGAAGAGAGCATAGCAGGGGACATGCATTACTGCAACCACCAAATACCTGCCAAAAAAGTTAAATGTTAGTCTATTTTTGGATTACATTTTTCCTATTTTCATTTATTTTTTCTGTAAATGGTTTAACTACAATTAATTAGCATCATTATTGTTCTGAACTAGAAATTGTACTAACTACTAAGTAATAAGTAATCACTGAATAATAAATATCCTTTTCAAGGACAGTTCAAAGTTACCAGAGTGGAGCATGAGCTGCTGATAAATCAAGAAAAGGATATGGCCACCTAAAAAATTAAAAAAATAAAAAATAAAAAAGATCATCACCAAAAATTATTTGAGGCGGAAAATTTAAAAGCAACGGCAGTTACCAGATATCAACACAGGAATGAACAATCCACTGGAAGATGACATAAACACCCGTCCACAAAATGAAGTATGAAATCCGGAACCAAGGGAATTGCTAAGAAAATCATGCACAAATTGTTAACAGAAAAAAAAAAGACATGTACTAAATTTTCAAATGAACTAATGATGAACAAAGAAAAAAAAAAAAAGAAAGCGAACCAGGCTATTTACAGCAGTATCCCCAATGAGCAAAACAGCGTTAAGCGAGTGTGTTACAACTGTCAGCTAATCCAAAGAAGCAAACATATTTTTCCATAATCAGAAGGTGATGAGAATGATCAAAACAGATAGGTAAAAAGTAGGTATATCGTATATTCAATTCACGGAATCTGGAGGCCATTTTCTAGTTAAATTTAGACATGAAAACTCAGTTTTTCAATATTTAATGTGTGGAAATAGGTAGATTGATGAAGCACCAGATATTGTTTAGTATACAGGCACTTACAAAATTCATTTCATAATCTTTAAGAGCCATAAATGGGAATATCACACACCAGTAAATAACATCAGTTATAGTTACTGCTCCCGCTGTCATCTGCAAATGCGAAAGTATGATATTAGGTAACATCCATAGAGTCGACAAACACAACATCAAAATCTGTGTAAAAACTGTAATGATATGTTTTCTGGAATTCCAGGCAGGTCAAAACTCACAAATTCATATCAAAAAAGTTAAGACACAAAGTAATTGGTCCAAGATATCCTCAAACATAGAACATCTAAAGTAAAACTAATCACATTGATTTCGTCAGACTACTATCAAATAATTGCGATTCACATATACACCCTTATGAAAGGCCAAGAAAGAAAAATCATCATACCGAATAAATTCCGAGAGAGAGAGAGAGAGAGAGAGAGAGAGAGAGAGAGAGAGAGAGAGGCACCACTATTGAACTAATTAGTGTAACTGCGTGAAAATAATACTTCCGAAGTAAACTTTTATTAGTTATATCATCTCACATCACACAAAACAGGCTATATACCTGGAACAGAACTTGAAATAGACTGTCCCAAAAGCAAAGGGAGGTTCCAGGGTGGTCCGACTTTTCTAACAACTCCATTCCATCTCCATTGGCTCCATACACTAGGTTAGCATATAAACCTTTCTCCATATCCTGTGATGAAGGGCATTTGTTTTTTTCATTTAATTTAAGCTGGTAGAAACATCCATGCATGGAAAGCAATGACCCGAGCTGCAAAAGGAAACATAAGACATTAGTCATATGAGACTCATATCAAAGATTAGTTTCTTGAATGTATAGTGTTGCAGTGGTTTCAGAAGGTCGGGCAAGTACAAAAAGGTTTTCAGGACATAAATCACAAATCATACCCCAAAATAGACGGTGACTAAAATAAATGTCCACCTGCGAAAAGAAGCATATAGAAGTGAGAAAAAAGAAAAAGTTCAAGTTAGAGACAAACAGATAAGACTTCTGCAAGTAAACAAACACATCAACTAACACAAAAGCGCTCCAATTAGAAAAATGACTTATAGCCGTAAAAAAGCACAAAGAACAATTTTCTTTTTAAGGAAACCAAATAAGAAAAAATGACTTACTGGGTGTAGTAGAAAAATAGCTCAAATCCATGAATAGCTATATCGAAACTCATAGCCGTAAAAAGCAGACAGAAAGCAATCACCCGAAAAACCATTAAGAAAACGGGGTGAATCTCTTTTATACAAGGTTTCCAAGATCTATTATAGTACAAACAAAACGAGCTGTCATTCTGTATCGTCCCTCTTTCGGATTCTGAGTTGTCTGAAAGTTCGTATTTCCAGATTAGAAACGATGCAACAACCATAGGCATCAATACCCATAACGCACACAGAAAAAATCCCCAGTTCCACCAATAACTCAAAGAAGTGGTATCAACACTCACAAGCTGCTGCTGCATTCTGTTTAACACCGAATATCATCATGCTCAAATGGTTTGCCAAAAAAAATCATAGCAACAAATAAATGTACAAACAAAAGGCTAAAAAAAGTACATACATTCACGATCACATTTACAATTATAAACAAATACATTCACGATCACTTCCTCTAATGGAAGTATAAACAAACATAACATGTGGCAGAGTCATGAATACGTGTAATTTGTCCACCAAACAAACAACTAACTATTATAGACATTGCAACCATAGCAACTTTTCGAACTTCCTACAAAAAACACAAAGAGCAAAAACTCTCCATATTCCCAACTCCATCACTTCATCCATTCGTGGAATGCTCGATACCAAAAGGATTATTAAACAAATTTGCCCCCCCACACAAAATCATAACATTCTTAAAAAAACGGCTACAATACTTTGATTTCATTCATCAAAATCACCCATCAATTGGAACTTTTATAAACTGTATCTCATTCATCCAAACCAAATTAAACTCCATTACTCGAAGCCAATGCCTCAATCTCATCGCTGACCAAGCCAATTGTAATATTCAGAATCAACATCATACCATCAATATAAAAAAAAATAAAAATAAAAAAAAGCTCCAAATATTCACATTCGTGCCATGATTGATACACATTAAATGCCCTAAATACACACATTAATAAGCCAAAGAAGCAAAATCTCAAGCATTATAGTAGATATTAATCAAATTATGCCATCAAATCGAGTAAACCCAAAGGTATTGCTGAAGGAGAAAAGGGAAACTTACAGGAGCAAAGTGAATCTCAGTATGATTCAAAATTACAAATCATGAAAAAGAAAACAAAGAAAAGTGGAAAATCTGAGTTTGTGGCAAATTGCAATGGAGAAAATGCAGAAACAAATGGAGTTGATGATGAGATTGGCAGAGGAAAAGCTCGGTTTGAGTTTATCCCTTTTTCTTTTTTTAGTAACATTAATGAATGAAATTTGATTAATCGGTTTGCACGTGGATCTGTAAACCGGAAGGTCCATGTAAATAATGAATGAAATTTGATTGGGCAGTGGATGTAAATAATGAATGAAATTTGATTGGGCTTCCACTGCCACGTGCGCTTAATTGAGTGGATTGACCATACTTCTTTGATTTGTTTTTCTTTTCCATATTTGTATCTACTAATCATGCATATAAAAATAAGGAAATGTTACAGTCTCGTAAAATGTTTTGTCATATTTAACAAATTCAGTGAGATTGGACGCTTTTAATGAATGGTGTATTCCTTATCAAAATATAAAAATTGAAAATATTATTATTATTTTTTTTAGTACAGAGACCTTCCGGTTTCTGGATCCACAATGGAACCGACTAATTCGGAATCCAAAAATTAAAAATATTGAAAAGTAATCACTATATTTTAATTGATAAATTTGAAAATCATTATGTTGTATGTGTGATTTTTTTTAGTAGATCTCAATTGCTTTTAATGAATCTATATATATATATATATATATATATATATATATATATGTGCTCCTATTTATGGAGCATTTTAGTATACTGTAGCTATAAAACACGTGTCAACTTTAAGAGGCGTCAATTACATGTTGAAATTGACGGCTTCTACTTGTTCTCTATTTCCGGTTGACATATTTGTTTGACACTTTTCTCAGCTAGGTCGACGTTTTTTGGACCAGGTCGGCATATCTCTGGTCTAGGTCGCATATTTTTAGGCGAATACCTATTTTGGACAACTTCTTTGGAATTAAGTCGACAATTTTTTAGTTCGACTTACTCTGCCAATTTGAAAAATCTATTGTTTGTACCAAAAAAAAAATTGTACCAAAAAAAAAAAAAAAAAATCTATTGTTTATTTGACTATTTTTCTAATAATATAAGTTCTTTTTTTTATTTTTTGTCACGTGTGACTTTTCTATCCGTCGTGATTATAGTATCGATAACACCTAAAAACCATCTTCATTTATAAGCAATCTTATAATCTTATTATAGGTAGACAACCATAACAAAGGAAAAACATGTAGAAACATGCAAGAAGAAATGTCTTCTTTGTTTTGTTGATAAATGAATTACGTTCACATAGCTTATACCTTGTGGAACCTCCTCAATATAAATTTGTAGATTATATTCAAATGGACCATTTCGGACGCTCCACAAGGCCCATTACTTTTTTAAGATGAAAATATTGGCTTGGCCTACTTCGTTTAGGTCCAATAATGTCAAGTTTATGTGTTGGACTAAGCCCATATGTGTTGTTTAGATAATTTAGAAAATTAAATATTTACATCATTCACCCATTTATTTATGAAATTTTTATTTAATTACAACAAATATTATCTTTTAAGGTTATGATATTTAATATTTATTTATAACAATTGATTTCTAAATTGAGTTGTTTTTAGCTTATGTGTCATAGTTTTTGGATAGTAATGTTGAATTTAATCAAAAATTGAGAGAAATGTTTTGGAGAAGAAAACAAAAACTGATTTCAATGGCTCTGTTTTCACTTACTGTTTCAAAAAGGAAGATGATCGTGATTTATAGTCACGATTGTACAAAGTGCATTTCTTAGCTCAGCAATATAAAAGGAGAAAACACAACTACACTTATAGAAGCGTAAGCACGCTTAAGACAAACAGAAAAAGAACTATATATATGCTGAAATATAAAAGGCTCCACGTGCTATATTCCAACATCCCCCTCTCAAGTGGGACTTCGATCGGCGAGAGAAAGTCCCAACTTGGACGCTAGCAAGTGAAACTGGCCCCCAGTGAGCACCTTAGTAAAAATATCCGCGAGTTGAAGTTTGGAAGACACATAACACGGGCGAACAAAGCCATCCTTGAACTTATTTCGCACCAAATGACAGTCGATCTCTAAGTGTTTGGTGCGTTCATGAAAAACGGGATTGGCCGTAATATGTAGGGCTGCCTTGTTGTCACACCACAAAGGGATCGGCAAAGAAATGGGAATGAGAAGATCCTTAGCTATATAGGAAATCCACAAAAGCTCAGAAACTGTGGAGCTTAAAGCTCGATATTCGGCTTCAGCCGAGGACTTGGAGATAGTTTGTTGTTTTTTGCTCTTCCATGAGATCAAGCAGCCTCCAAGAGTCATGCAATAACCTGTTATGGAACGACGAGTGTCTTTACATGCGGCCCAATCCGCATCACTGTAAGCCTCCAAATTAAAAGATGATGTAGCAGGGTAGAAAAGACCAAGTGAAGGTGTGCCGCGAAGGTAGCGAAGCACATGCATGGCGGCTTTCCAATGAGAGCTGCAAGGGGCTGTGACAAATTGGCTTAGTTGTTGTGTGGCGTAAGTGATGTCAGGTCGTGTCAAATTCAAGTAAAGTAGTCGGCCAATGAGGCGCCTATAAAGGTCAGGCTGTAGAAGAAGATCACCATCAACAACTTGCAATTTCATGCCATGAGGGAGAGGTGTAGCTGCTGGGGAGCAATCAAGCATATGCATATCACCGAGCAAATCCAAAACATATTTGTGCTGACAAAGCAAAGTACCCTCAGTACTTGAGTGAAGTTCAACCCCTAAAAAATATTTGGCAAGCCCCATGTCTTTGATAGAGAACTCTTGATCTAAAAAGAGTTTGAACTGATCGATCAATGTAATACTAGAACCAGTTAACAACACATCATCAACATATATGAGGACAGCAAGAAACTCTCCATCTGACTCCATGGTAAATAGGCAATGATCAAAGGCTGATTGAGTGAGACCAAATAATGCAAGTTTCTTACAAAGTTCAGTGTTCCATTCCCGGGACGCCTGCTTAAGACCATAAAGGCTCCTTTTGAGTTTACATACCTGCCCCTTTTCAGCTTTCTTATACCCCAAAGGTGGATGCATATATACCTCTTCATGAAGAAATCCATGCAAAAACGCATTGTTCACATCTACTTGAAACAATTTCCAGTTTCTTAAAGTGGCCATGCAAATAAAAATTCTAACTGTCACCAACTTTGCCACCGGGGAAAAAATATCAAAGTAATCAACCCCTTCAATTTGATTGTAACACTTGGCAACTAACCTAGCCTTAAATCTATCCACCGTGCCATCAGCCTTTCTCTTAATTTTATAAATCCATTTGCAACCAATTGCTTTCTTTCCTGCAGGTAAGGTAGTTAGTTCCCAAGTGCAATTCTTCTCCAAAGCCTCTATTTCACAATCCATAGCTTTTATCCAAGCTGCATGCCTACTAGCCTGTCCATAATGTGTAGGTTCTTTGTCCAAAGAGATGTGGTCAAAAAGGCATGGTCAAATGCACCTGGAATAGAGTCAGGTTTGGTGCAAACATAATCTTTCATCCAAATGGGGTCCTTTCTGACCCTAGAGCTCCTTCTCACACAAGGATTCTGGTCCATTGGCTCATGGAATTGCACTTCATCACCATGACAATCATCTTCACTTTCAGATTTATCTTCTGATGGTAATATGTGAGGTAGAGAAAAATTTGATTGCTGTGAGATACAATCAAAAGGATATGTGTCTTCAAAGAATACAACATCTCTGGCTATTAACAACTTTTCATTCTCAATGTCATAAAGTTGAAAGCCCTTTTTTCCTGCTGCATACCCCAGAAAAACACATTTTAACCCTCTGGTGTCAAACTTGCTCTTGTGTGGTGATACATTAGCTGCATATGTAAGACAACCAAAGGGCTTAAGTTTGTGAAAATCAGGCTTCATGTTGTGTAATCTTTCATATGGTGTTACCCACTGTAGTACTGAGCTAGGAGATCTATTGATGACATAAGCAGCTGTAAGGATAGCAAAAGGACAGAATTTAACAGGTAGATGTGCCTGGAACAACAAAGATCTAGCCACTTCAAGCAAATGTCTGTGTTTCCTCTCTACCACACCATTTTGTTGGGGTGTGTAAGCACAAGTTGTATCATGAAGGATTCCCTTTTCAGTCAAGTATTCTTGCAGCTCAGAATTTACAAACTCCCCACCATTATCGGTTCTGATTTTCTTGACTTGACCATCATACTGAGTTTTGACCATTTCTATGAACCCTTTAATGATCTTGCAAACTTGTGATTTGCACATGAGTAGATATACCCAGGTACCTCTGCTAAAGTCATCCACAATAGTTAGGAAAAAATGTGTATGAGTTAAACTGTCCTCTCTGCAAGGTCCCCACACATCCATATGTAACAATGCGAATGGTGAAGTAGTTTGTATGCTGCTGTTTGGGAAGACAAGCCTGTGTTGCTTGGATTTGTAGCAAATCTCACATGACTTTATTTTCTTTTCAGTCTCTGCATTGCACATTGGTTTCAAAAAACTCAACTGGTTCATAGCAGTGTAAGATGCATGTCCGAGAGCTTTATGCCACATTTCTAAGGACAGGTTACATTTCTCAGCTTGAGAATTAAATGTGTGAGGCCTGTAAACATAAAGGTTCCCCACAATCTCACCCATCTGCACATATTCTCCATTTTTCAAGTCCTGCAAGTGGCATTTTGAACCAGTGAAAACCCACTTCTTGTCATTGTTTCTGCAGTATTGTAGAACTGACAACAAGTTGTACTTAAAACTCGGTACAAGAAGCACATCATATAGAATCAAGCCTTCTTTCAGCTCCACTTCTCCTTTAAGATACACTGTTTTCAAAGAACCATCAGGCAAGCAAATTGATAGATTTGTCTGCAATCTTTCTATCTTCCTCATTAATCTCTCTTCAGTGCAAATATGTCTACTGGCACCGGTATCAATTACCCATTCTCCATCATGTCCATTCTCTAAGGTAGATAGTGCATATTGAACTTCATCTTCTTTGTCATTACCTGCAAAGCTGACAAATTGTGCATAATCCACCTTTGGTTCTCCTCCTTTACCCTTGATGTATTGAGTGAGTTCCTGCAGTTGTTTGATTACAGAAGACAGATCCTCACCTCTGTTATTCTCCTGTTTTTGGAGATCTTTTCTTTCAAAAGCTTCAGCACTGTTAGCATAGCTTTTACCTCTTTGATCCCTGAAGCCTTTATACCATTCTGGAATTCCATGAATTTTAAAGCATGTTGAGATGTCATGCCCTCTCATCCCACATTTTCCACATATCAACTTTGCTTTCTCTTCTTTGCTCATTCTAGGTGTTCCTCTACCCTTTCCTGCCATCCACTGTTCACCTCCTCTACTGTAATTTCCTCCTCCTTGTGTATTTTTGTTAAATCCATCTGACCTTACAGCCATAGCTGCATTATCTACTTGTTCCCCATACATATGTTGCACCATTCTCTGTCTCTCTGCTGTCAATATCATGGAATACGCCTTGTTGATAGAAGGCAGTGGATCAAACAACATAATCTGATTCTTAACATTATCATATGCATCATTAAGCCCCATAAGAAATTGTACTAGCTTAGTTTCTGATTCATACTGCAGCATTAACTTCCCTTTCTCACAAGTGCAAGTTTGCAATGGTGCTATACAAGCCAACTCATCCCACAGTTTTTTTAAACGATTGAAGTAATCCATCACTGAACTATTCCCTTGGACTAGGTTAGATATTTCTCTCTGCACTTTGTATCTCAACGGGCCATTACTTTCCCCAAATCGTTGACAAATTTCATCCCATAAATCCTTAGAAGTTTCAGCATGTAGAAATGATTCAGACAAATCTTTGGATAATGAATTCAAAATCCATGATATCACCATCCAGTCAATTTTTTTCCAAACCACATATTTCTCATCGTTTTCATCAGGCATTGCAATTTCCCCATTTATAAATCCGAGTTTAGTTTTAGCTCCTAATGCAATCATCATAGATCTCTTCCAAGATAGAAAATTATTACCAGTTAAAGCATGTGATACCAGCATCAAACCAGGATGATCCGATCCATGTAGTGCGAAAGGATCCTGATCAGCTCGCGATGCGATTCCCGCATTACTGTTGAGGAGCGGCCATGGATTCTCTCGTCGATTAGCCATTGTTAGGTATGTAGATCAAATTTTGATTGCGGAAGATCAAGGTGAGCTTATCCCGCTCTGGATACCATGTTGAATTTAATCAAAAATTGAGAGAAATGTTTTGGAGAAGAAAACAAAAACTGATTTCAATGGCTCTGTTTTCACTTACTGTTTCAAAAAGGAAGATGATCGTGATTTATAGTCACGATTGTACAAAGTGCATTTCTTAGCTCAGCAATATAAAAGGAGAAAACACAACTACACTTATAGAAGCGTAAGCACGCTTAAGACAAACAGAAAAAGAACTATATATATGCTGAAATATAAAAGGCTCCACGTGCTATATTCCAACAAGTAACCCTGTAATCCATCACAATTACTTCAAGATAGAACCAAAGCAAAATTATTCCACAATACAAAACCAAAATTGTGCTTTGCTTAACTAAACCTTAGAAAAATGACATAATCATCCCTGCAT